CTATAATAAAAATAAGGACGGGGAAGGTACGTTTCCGTTTTTTCCTTTCTTTCTTTTCTTCTTTTTCTTTTCTTTTCTTTTTTTTTTTTTTTTTTTTTTTTTTTTTTTTTTTTCCCTTTCGCCGTCACGTGTTTGTCGTAAGGTAAAGGCACCGCCACTTAGGCCGGAATTACCTGGACGCATTTGCAACACAGTTAGGTTCTCGAGAGAACGATGTTTATGGAATGGTACGGTCGTAAAGTCGTTTTCGTCAGTAGCGAAGCTTATATGATCGATAAAGTAAGTGTTATCGATTCGGGAGGGAGAGGGCGCACTTTAACACAGCGGACAAAAGAGAGCGAGGAGTGTCCCCTCGATTGGTATGCAAGTCTCGAGAGTTCACACACGCCGTTCTCTACCGGAGGTACTAAGCTAAGTTACTCGTGAGAGATTCAAAGGGCCAAGTCGTGACTGTTAACATTAGCACGATGGAGCCCTCATTATGCGAGCCAGCGGACGAGCATGTTAAAATAATCAAATCATTTCTGCGATAACAAAGTCGAGATCTCTCGGAAACTTCGGATTGAATGAACGATAATTATTCGTATATAACTAATTTGCTTTTCTCAAGTAGTCGTGTATAGTTAATTTTTCGTATCGCTCCTCTTACTTATCATAAATACATATATGGTTTTTCTTTATAAGTTTATTGGAAGAAAAATAGAAAAATATGTAATTTTCATTTCAATCAAGATATAGAGATATTGGAGACAGAGAGTGGATCAGTTTGAGTTGAATGAATGTTTGAATAATGAGGACTCTATCATGTCAGATTTAGGCATAGGTATAGAGACTAAAAAAAAAATGTTCTACGCTTCACTCGTCATGAAAAGAGTAAAGTATGATTTCTATACAAGACCCTAAAAAGAGGTCACTACTAATGTGAAAGTCAATACAGAATTCTAAAGGCTAGACTATGTTAGAATTGAAATAGAAATTCTTGAAGACTCGCTCGCAGCGTTCGTTGCGTTAATCCTTTACGATCATCGTCGAGGAAGAAGGGAGATTTTGTGCAACATTGCTAATTCAATTTCCTCAATTTTGTGACCGTGTGTCACATTGTTATTTTTGTTTTATTTCCGGATGAACGTCCGGTCGTAAAAGCTCAACGTTCAAACGACAAACAATGCGAGTTCAATCAGTAAGCTTTTAACCACTCGAATTCGATTTTAATGTTCGTAATTAACGGGGTGTTTTTTTTTTGTAAAAGCCGCGAATAGTTTGCAACGTTATGGTCGCCGAGGGGAGTTCACAAAGTTCGCAATCGGCACAAATCCTTCGCAAACTTCTATCGGCGCTGCCCAACGTCCAACAATCCAGATAATTCTTAGAGACATCGGTGGCGACGCCAATTGTCCTTGGATAACATAATTCGTGTTTTGACATACGGTTGTTATAAAAGCCTTGTTGGTTTTTCGATAATGATTATGACATTATGCCCGAAATAATTATATAAATCAGATAAAACAAGCCATTTTATGCATATACTTGGCATAACACAAAATGTTAAATCGTAAGAAAGCAGTGTCGTGATCTAACTGGACTGTATGTTACAGATTTGCAAATTCTCTCGCTCCTGAAAACGAGAGAATCGCAATCATCGCTCCGTCCAAACGGCTCGTATCACTACGACAATCCCTACCGAGAGATCAACAAAACTTCAAACAACAACGACTCTTCTTCTCTCTTGGCGCAATGTGGCACGGGAGCGGTCGCGCGATAACGCGATAACCGGAGGGAGGGAGGGAGGGGGGATAATTCGGGGGGATGGTGTACACCGACAACTGAAAGAGAGACTCCGAGGGCCGAGAGAGGATGGAGGAGACTCGTCGACTTCGTCTACTACCGCGTACGTAGGTCTTGGGGATGGGTAGGTCTACGCGCGCGTACGTAGAACGTACCTTACAAGCAACTCCCGTAGAGTGGCTTCATCGTCCTCCTGTACCTCTTCCTGCGTCTCATTACTGAACGAGCCGCGGCAAGGGTGATGATGGCGGTGCTGCCTGCCGGTCGTCCTGCCGCCGGGGGGATACTGGCCGTGCTGGCCGTGATGATGGTGATGGTAGTGCGCCGCCGAGGCGTTGGTGCTGGCCGAGTGCACGTACCGGGCGACGGTGGTGCTAGCGCTCGCTCGCTCCCTAGTCAGCTTGTGGCCGGTAGCCGCAGGAGGCGGCAGTACGGCGCCTGTACCGGGCTCCACGTGGCTCCTGCGCACGGCATACTGCTCCTCCTCCACCCTGGCGACGACAATGTCCCGCTGGCGCGACCGATCCGACGGCCGGCGATCGGCCGATCCGCTGCGCGATCTCGCGCCGCCGCTGGTCCTGCTACGGGGGATGGTACCACCGCTGCCGATGATCTCCTCCCGGCTCCTCCGCAGGCCGATGCTATCTCCAACCTGAACCCCGAAATCGAGGCTCCTCCTGCTGCCACCGACGTTCTCCTCCTCCTCCTCCTCCTCCTCCTCCTCCTCCTCCTCCTCCTCTTCCGCCACCCCCTGCCTGCCAACGGCGGCACCAGGCGGCCGGTCCGTATCCTGGGACCCCGAGAGGCCCGGGATCTCCTCGTAGAGGCACTCCGAATCCTGATCCGTCGCGCTCTGCCACAACTGGTTTATTGGCTTGAAGCCGCGTGAATCGGCCATCGTTCAAGCTGCGCCCAAAGACAGAGACGAAAGCCGTATGACAGTATGGCTCTCAATCTCGCTCTCCTCCTTTTTTTTTTTTTATTTTGCTGTTTCGTTTTCGTGCGTTTTTTTCCGGCGATAATTAACGATACTACACACAGTATAGCCGGCGGCGAGACTCTCTTTTGTAATATTCGCGCGGTCGCCTGTCTGCGATTATTCAGAACTCTGCAAAACGCAGACCTTTGCGAGCCAGCGGCGGGGAGCCAGCGAAAAACGGAGGCGCGATGCAGCGAGAGGCGGCATCGCGGCGGCGCTTAATCGTAAAGAGCAAATGCGATACGTGGGGATAGTATCCCGGTGATGGCGATACCTCGCTAATTGGCGAAATTACTCCAATCGGCGCTCTGCCGCTCTCCTCTCGAGATCAAATCTCTCGCGGAGCATCCGGTGACGCGGCCGCCGGTGGGCACGCGCTTTATTTATTAATTAATCGAAAGGCATTTCAGGAGGTGTGTATGCGCCTGTGCGGTACAACTGTCGTCTGCGACTGCAGACGACACGAAGAAATAATTCAAGGGGAGTTTACGCGCGGCAGTGTCCATGCGAAATATGCAGCAGCATGCGCCACCGCTGTTGCTGTCGCTGCCGCTGCTGCCGTTGCTGGAGCTACCGCTGCTGCCGTTGCTACTCCTGCTGCTCCTGCTGCCGCTGCTGCGGTTGCCTGCGGGCAACTTTCGCTCGCGTTACTAATAATACGAGACGTTGGCCGAGGTAACTGAAATGATAGCGTTTGCCTTCAGAGGTTCCCGAGATCCCGGCGGTGCGGAAGTTGTCCCCCGCCCTGGGGATGTAGGCGCGAACAAACTAAACTCGTCACATTCGGACGGCCGCTAAGTTGACTTCTGCAGCGACGAGAACGGGAGAGAGAGAGAGAGAGAGAGAGACGGGAACGCCGCGAATGGCGTCGCCTGCAGGTGAATTACGAGGGGGCGGAGGGGAAGGGGGGCGAGCCGCCGTTCCTAAGAATGCACGTCGCGGCGATTAACTCCGACGTGAACGCATCCCTCTTCCAGGCGCACATTCGATCGCACGCCTCGCGACGTCGAATGGGTACCCTTGAATATTTCGAGGGTAGAAAAAAGGCGATTCATACTCGTATGAATAATAGTAATATAAGTAAAAAATTCTCGAGTCCGAGTGTATTTTTCGTAGCCGCGGTGGCTTCGGATTTAGAAGACGAGCTATTTAACGAGTTTTTGCGAGAGAACGGTGATAAGGAAACACACAGGGGTGAATTGTCGCGCGGCATATGCAAGAATTTGCCGCAGTGATGGAGATCCATAATTTGTAAGGTCCACTTTACGGGACTCTCTCTCCGAGCTAGACCGCGGGATTTCATATTTAAAGAGGACAAATTACGGATCTAGTGTCTCCACTCTAAAACTTTCGCATAATGATTCAACGTCAGCATTTTTAATGACGATACGAAAATAGCTCTGTTCACAACGTATCGTAACACGGAGGAGGGGGAGGGGGGAAGGCGGGAAAGGGGGAGGAGAGAGGTACCGGAGATTTCCGTGTAAAACTGTTTTACTCGTAATGACCGACGTATTGTATTCGCAGTACGGAGCTTTCTCTTTCCGAAACAGGCCATCTATCATAAATGAAGAAGTACAGACTCACCTTAAAGAATTCGTAAGCCATTGTGCCCGGCGATGATATATCACGCCACGACTCGTTTCGTCTCGCACCTGCTCCTCGCCTCGCTCCCGACGAAGAAAGAACTCCGTGGATCCGATCTATCAGCTATCGGGAGATCGCGCTTCGCGACGCAACGGCGGGAGGGGAGAACGGCGAGAAACAACACTGAGGGAGGGAGGGGGGGGAGAACAAGGGGGTGTAGAGATACACGGACGCGGATGTGAAACGACGGGATTTCCACCGCGAGTACCAACGTATCGTGTCTTCGGAGGGGCCCCTCCCCCTTCCTCCGATCGATCCGATTGGATTTGTAGCGGATTGTAGCTCGGTACAAGGCGGCGAGTGCTAAGAACCTGTAAACAAACGAGCGAAGCGTTAGCATTGCCGATGCCCAAGACCTTGTCCTCTGGAATATCTCGTCGATTAAGATACGATAATGAAATCTGATAGACGATTACTAGCATAGACACTGGTGTTTTTATCTTTACACAGAAAAAAAGATCAGCCTTAAATTAATAAAGATAAATATTCTTATATATACAAGCAGGAATATTATAATCTTCTTGAAAATTTTAGTCTTGATTTTTTTCAACTTAAGGCTATAAATCTTTTATATGAAAATTGTAATATTTTTACTTGAATATGGGATATAGTCTTGACTTAAGATTAAATTTTTCCTATATATTTTTTAATATCATCAACTTTTTGAAATTACACGATTAGTAGAATCGAATTAAGTTATAAAGCTGTAAAGGAAAAGATCTTACGACTTGTCTATTCTTGGTAACGTAATAGTTGGAACACGATATCATCGTGTTTCTTTGTTACGATGAGATATGAGAATGAGATATAGATCGTTATCGAACTACGGATAATTTTCATAAACGTCAGCTGAAGTTAATTACATTCTATAGCTCTCATTCTAAAGGTAGACTTTAGAAATGACGTAAAATCAATTAAATCGATAAAATTCAAATAGCATTTATGAAAACGTCAGCTTCACGCTTGTAATATTATCTTCGCGGAGTAATTTTATTTAAGAATATTTGCAA